AAATAAATAAGTTCATAATAAGAAAAACACTAGAATGTAGTGCAGAACTTACGGCTAAAGCTGAAGTATTTATCGATGACGTTAAATCGTGTATACCAAGGATTGGACTCGAAAATTTGTATAATTTAGATCAGAGCGGATTTTAGCTAGAAATGCATTCTGGAAGAACATTAGCAGTAGAAGGAGAAAAGCAAGTGCAATATCTGGTACAGTCAATTTCAGCAACAACGCATAGTTATACTATACAGCCATTAATATCAGCTACTGGACAACTGTTGCCACCGCTATTTCTAGTTTTAAAAGAATGAAGTGGCAAGTTTGGCCCTATTGTAGAACAAAATATAGTTAGACAAGAAAACGTGTACGTGGAAGCATCCAAATCTGGAAAATTAACAAGTAAGGGAACTAATAACAATTTTAACCTTTTGTTGCACATATTTTTCTGTTCAGTGGTTTTCTTGAAAATTCCTACTCGGGGGTTTTTGGGGTGGCTGATCACGAATCTAAAGTCATAATTTCGAAATTTTTAATTCAAGATGGCGAATTCAAAATGGCGGTACCAAAATTTCCAAAAAATAGATGTATCTACTTAAAAATCGTTACTAAGGGGTTTTCGGGGTCGCTGATCACGAATATGAAGTCGGAATGCAGAAATTATTGATTCAAAATGACGGATTCAAGATGGCGGCTCGGGAATTTTCGATAAATTAGATGTACAAGCTTAAAAATCACTACCCAAGGGTTTTTGCGGTTACTAATTACGAATCTGTTAATTTTTTTATAGTTCATCATTGTAGATCTAATATGACGAATATTACGACATAAACAGTGGTTAAAATATTGGGGACTTTCGAAAATTTACTCTTTTTTTGCGTAACCCAGAGCTAACGACGAGGACGTAAAAGAGTACTAGCTCCATTTTTTTTGTTTTTTTTGTTGTTTTTTGTTTTTTTTTCTTTTTTGTTTTTTTTTGTTTTTTTATTCTTTTTTTAGTATTTTAGTAGTAATTTAGTAATTTTTTTAGTATTTTATTCAGTTTTTAGAATTATTCAAACTATTTTTTATGTATTTTCTTTTGATTTTGCCCACGAAGTTATGAAAAAGTAAGCATTATTCTTTACCTAAGTGTGGTAATTTTGGAAACAATTTCTATCTTGCAAAAGACACAACGTTGGTTTTATATGTTTTTCTCTGTACAAAATATATGCATTATTTATTGTTAGATCGAGAAAATGCCAAAATATTCTAAACCACCACTTTTTAGATTTACGATCAATTTTATAAACTGAAATAAGTCGATCAGCATAATCTACATAACCCATGTGCTTATTATAATCTGAAGAAACAACAGGACAATTGACACATTTTAGAGAGCCATCTTTTTGTCTACGATTTACGGTAGTAACTTCAGATGCATCGTGAAAGTTGGATAGAAAATAAACTGGTTTCTTATCCATCCACTTGATCCAGGTAAGACCTGTCTTGGTTCCCTTCTTCCCTTGAATTTTATCATAGACTCATCTACAGATTGGTACTTACCAGGATTGAAACTTTTTTTGAAGGTTCGAGAAAGCTCGTCTAAAAGTGGTCTTACCTTATACAGTTTATCGTAATTTGGATCACCTTTTTTTGGTTCTTTAGAGTTTTCGTTGATATGCATATGAGACAGAAAAAAACTAAAACGATTAACAGTCATGAGAGATGATATGTAAGAATCACGTAGCTGAGGGTTTTCACTCCAATAATCTCGGTAAGATGGCAATTTTTTTATACCCATCAGAATGTAAATGCCTAAAAATATTTTTAATTCTTCTTTTGTGATGGGATCTTGCTTACCTTTTTTTGAGAAATGTACAGATTAGTTTGATGTACAATATGATCCAATAGATCAGAAGAAAATAAACAAGAGAATATGTCTAATGGTGATTTCGCTGTATCTGGAATATTTGGACCAAAGCTTTTAGAAAACATAAAATCCGATCTTGGCCGACTAACAGACTCCCAAATATCAGATTGATTTGAATCATCAATGTCTTCTGCGTTCATTGATTCTTCTTTGTCATAGTTATTATTTACAGTAGAAACATTTTCGTCTAAAAGTGATCTTGAGTTCACAACGTCTTCTTCGTTGTCAGAATCTTGAAGCCCATCAAGCGATTCAGAATGGCTAGAAATTTCGGTTGTAACATTTTTTTTTCTCCCCATATTTATAACTTTTCGTGACTTTGAATACTTTCAATGTGCAAAAAGTAACTTTTATAAAAAAATATAAGCTCACGAAGTCATGTAAAAATATAAAATTAGTATTAGTTTTGATCAATAGCATTTGCAATGAAAAGTCAGAATTTTTGAAAATACTTCAGGATTGTAAAAAAAAGTTATTATGTTTATTTCCTATTCATAATAAAAAAGAGTTGCAATAAAAACAAAAAATTACCTCGAAATATATCACCTCATCTACGATTTCAACAATTTAGGTGTAAAACTAAACTACATATAATTTTTATCTCGATTTTTATAAAGTGATTTCGAATTGGATTCAACAACAAGTAATGATTTATGAACTGTTTTTAAAATTTTGATACTACCATCTTAGATCCGCGATTTTGAATTGAAAATTTGACAATTTTGATGTTAGATTTATGATCGGCAATCTTAAAAACCCCCAAGTAGAGATTTTCAAGTTAATACATTTATTTTTTTTAAATTTCTGCCGCCATCTTAAATATGCTATTTTGAATTGAAAGCTTTGGAATTCCGACTTTATTTTTGTAATCAGCGACCCCAAAACCCCCGAGTAGAGATTTTTAAGCTGATATATCTCTTTTTTTTCAAAATTTTGGAACCGCCATCTTGAATACGCCATTTTGAATTGAAAATTTTGGGATTTGGACTTCATATTCGTAATTAGCGACCTCGAAAACCCCCGAGTACAGATTTTCAAGTTAATACACTGATTATGTTTTTCAATAATGAATTTTTCCGAAAAAAATGACATTTTTTCATGTTTGTTTATTTATATAACAATTATAATGAACAATTTTGCCAAATAAATCATTTTCCTATGTTCTCTTACTAATAAATTAGTATATGAACAAAAAAAAAACCGGATGTAAATAGGTTAACAATTGATTAAATAGCGAAAATGTGAAGTCAAGTTGGTGATAACCCACAGTGCAACAAAGGGTTAACATTGTAATATCGTTGATCAGTTAATTAGTAAGTCGTTTAATTGCAGATCACTTCAAAATCAGGTTGGAAAAAATATTTTATCCCAATGTAGGCCATCACTTAATATTATTACTTGATTCTTGGAGTGGTCATTGTGACAAAGTTATAGAAGAAACGATGCCACAAAATAAAATTATTAACATAAAAAAAATTCCAACTGGAACCACAGGAAAAATACAACCACTTCGTGTCTATGGATTCCATATTTGGAAAAACTTTGTCGGAACATTTTCTGATAATGTAATGTTAATGGATCATGATATGAATTTACATGTGAGAAATAATATTATTAAACTTCAATCATTGGTTCACAACCAACTATCTTCACCGAGATATATAGATTTGTTTAAATATTCCTGGTATAAAAGCGGTTACGTCACTGAAAAACCAGATAAATTTGATAATCCTATAGATTTCAGTTTTGGAAAATCTTGTGCAACACATTGTAAAATAGAAGGGTGCACAAACATTGCAATTGTATGATGCAGTTGGTGCAAGAAAGCATTGTGCTTTAAACACTTTTATGAGGAGTACCATTATTGTAAAAACTTCGTAAAATATTTTATGCTCAATACAAAAAATGCACTATGGCAAAAGATAAAAGATTGTAGATTATTATTATTATACTCTAATGTTATAAACAAAAATACATTATAAGTTAGATTTACAATAAAGGAATTTCAATAACATTCTGATAACAATTTCTACGGAAATTATAAAACTGCTTCACACACAGAATTTTCTTGTTAACAAATTTAGGAATTTGAGGTGGTTTGGTTAAAAAGCACAGGCATCTAGCCTATTTGTTGTTTAGGGGTTTAGGGTTTAAGGCTCTTTAGTTCACATGTACAGGCTACAAAGATCACACATTTGTAAACAAGTTTTTATGAAAGTTCAAATTTTTTTTCGACATTTTCGTCCACCACATTGGTTCCGCCATTTTAAATTTTCAAAATCTGATTTCAGATTTGTAAAGAGCGATCTCGAAAACCCCAATATACAAACCTTCTACAAAATATTATGGATTGAAGTATACTTATAGTTATTTTGTGTTAGGGGTGGTTTACCCTCAAGGTCGCAGAGAGAGAAGGAACACATGGTGGCCATGATGAACCTACACTTCCTCGAGACTAGTATAAATAACATCCTCATCGCGATAAACACACTAGTATTATTATTCCAAAAGTTGGACGCCATTGAGGCAGATAAATCTCTCCATTGTTGAGACTGAGAGAGGTGAAACCTTTGAAGGACACGTCTTGGCGCTAGAGGGATTCGAAACCAGTCCTCAATGCTACAAGAATTGCAGAAAATATGTGATTATCTTCTGGAGACCAATGGCTCTCTAAAGAGAGGCTTACATAGGCTTTGACAAAATCTAATTATCTCCCAGATGCTTGCCGGGTCACTGGCAAACACTTCAAAGTAATATCCATTTTTAAAAGACTAACTAAAATCGCATTAACTTTTTCTCCATACCTCATTCTGTAAAAATAAATCAAATAAACTTTTACTCTTCGAATTTTACTGTTTCAAATCTGAGTTATTGGAAACTTTATACATGTATACCACACACATTTATACACTCATGCATATATACAATCATTCCATAAAAACGAGATTTTGTAACTTCTAAGATCTCAAAACACATTTAAGGACTGATTTTAACACAAATATTTTTTCAGCAAATCAAAGTTTTCCCTACATGGAAGAAAATATGAAAATCATTAAAATTAAGCATTGTTTCAAAAATTAAAATGGTTACTTACAACTAAAGGTATTTGCAAGAGTGAAGATAACTCATCTTGATCCTGTACAGATGTTTTAGGATGTACGAGACCACCTTGATTAGAAAGAACTGAATATGATCCGACCAACACATTACTAGCGACTGTTTGTCTAAACACTTCCACATCCAGTGTATCAGCGAGTATTTCTTCTGTTTCCTATAAGAGATATTTATTCTGATATTTAGAATAGAATTTGCATACATTTTCTAGGAAAAATTTAATACATCAAGTAAAGATTGGTTTATTGAATAGAAGTAAATATATTACTGTGAAATTAAGTTTTCTGAAAAGTGAAATCGGCTTCGTTTGAATGTATGCCAAAATAATATCATAGAGAATTTCATTTTTTTGACAATGTTACAAACATAAAGAAGATTGAATATCTAGATCTCAAAAATACGTTCAAAAAATAGAAAATTATCTAGGATCAGAGATAAAAAAAATAGATTCAAAACGCATGACAAAATAATAAACCCTTTACTTATGGAAGTACGAAACAGAAAGATTTATAAATTAGTAGCTTCAAAAATATTATCGAAATAGTAAAATATCGTACAATAAAATCAATTTCAAATGAAATTTCAAGTTTATCAATCTTAATACTTAATCTAAAAATAAGTTATAATCAAAGATAAATAGTCTTCATAACATATAATTAACAACGGTATATATTAAACAATAACGACATTAATAGTAAAGTATTGAAGGGGCTCTCTATCTTACTTGTTTTAATCAGTTATGTTCGTTCAATATTAATATTTGATCATCCACCATGAAAAAAAGAACTCAAAAATAATGAGAAATATTTTACGAAAACTTGAACTTAAAGTGAAAAAGTGCGTAAAAATATATAAGACAATTCATACGTATTGGACGATTATTTATACTTTCTCTTTTTAAGATTGCCCGTTTTCTGTTGGTAAACAGATATGACGTCGTGGCTACCACACAGTTTTAGGTAGGTATATTAGATTGTATATTAGTCAAGTTTGAATTACAGTATGGCACTGCTACTATTTTTGGGAATGAGTATTTAGTATTCCGAACCCATATAGGCTAGGAATTTTTATAAAACAATTATAAATATTAGGATAATGACAGCTGGAGTGATGTATGATAAATTCAATTGTTTTGTATTACATTTATCGTCATGATTCTGCTGGTTCATTATCGGTACATAGCAAGATTAAGGTTACAATCATTACACAATTTTAATGTTACCTAAAATATGCTGTATAAATAGGATGAATAATATTAGTATTCTGAAGTATAGTCAATACACGCGAAAACACACACACACGCACACACACACGCACACACACACACGCGCGCACACACACACACAACTCCGCCACCGCCGGTCCCAAGCCCGGGACCCTGCTACTTAAGATGCAGGGAAGGAGGAGGGGGAGGAGTATCAACCTCGTTAAAAAACCAAGGCTCATCTGGCCCGGATAATAGCACCTTGTTAAAGGGTCCCCGTCCAGGGTAACGGACCCCCAAGCTGAAGGTGTGAAGCGACCCGTGCCGATGTAGCCTTGTTGGCTCTCGGGGGTAACAGAGAGTCTCAAACGGAGCCTTGGGAGCACCTGGCGAAACTCCGTCGTAATTAGCCTTACTCCGGCAACCGGGGCTCTGCCGGAGCGGACCGATAGTTCCCTAGGTACTCGTGGGAACAAAATGAGCAATATAACTAAACTAAATGAGAGAGAAGATATGGAGGAGCAAGTACTTGAAGCTGATAAATGCTTCAAGAGCTTAGAAAAGAAGGTCAAACAGCTGGTGCAGTTCATACTGGAGAAAAAGAACCTCCACGCTGAATTAAAGACCATGGCCAGAAGGGCAAACAGTACTATTGATGAGTACGCAAAGCTACGGTCTGCAGGTGGTACGAAGGAAAATGCCGACAAAACGGCAAAAGATGAAGAGACGCAAACGTCCCTCAAACCAGAGAAAAAGCGAAAAAAGCGGGACCCAAATTCGCCAATAGAGTCGCTAGTGGTCAAAAAGCCGAGGAAAGGGAAGAAGACACCGGCCGACGAAACAGAAACAACCGAGCAAGAAATAAGGGCGTCGAAACCCGGAACAGAAGAGTGGACAGAAGCCAAAAGAAGAGTCACAAAAAAGAAGAAGACTACGGAACAACATAATGACGATAGAAGAAGAGGAAAAATCACGGAGTCAGAACACCGAAAGACCAGTCGAAGAAAATCTCGCCCAGAAGCCATTAAGATCAAGGCACTGGACGGGACGTCGTATGCCGACATTCTAAGAAAGGTCAAGGCAGCACCAAACATGAAGGAGATAGGAGAACGAGTTACGCGAATACGGCGCACCAGAGCAGGAGAGTTACTCCTTGAACTGGGGAAACCAGGGACGGCGTCTCCAAATATCGAAAAGACAGTTCTGGCTATCCTAAGAAGTCTGCAGAAGTCCACCTGATGACCGATAAGGAAACCCTCAGGATCAAAGACATGGATGAGACAACCACACCTGAGGAAGTGATAGAAGCTGTAGCTGCAGTTATCGGACCAGAGGCAGCTGCGAGTAGCAGCATAAAAATCAGAGGACTGTACAACGGCACACAAGCGGCACATATCCAGCTCCCGGTAGCAGCGGCCAGAAAGCTACTTGAAAATGGGAAGCTGAGAATAGGATGGGTGAATTGTAGAGTTCAGCCTTTCACACCGACACAAAGATGCTACCGGTGCCTGGAGAATGGTCACATCGCAAAGGACTGCAAAAGCGATGAAGACCGCTCCAAGCAGTGTTCAGGTGCAGAAAGGAGGGGCATAAGGCAGCGGACTGCACGGAAGCAAAGACGGAGGGACCTCACGCTAAAAATGACTAAAGTACTCCAAATCAACCTCAACCACTGTGCAGCGGCTCAATACCTGCTGCACCAGTTGGTAAGGGAGGAAAGGGCCGACATCGTCATAGTTAGCGAAAAGTACCGTGATCTCGATGAGCCGAACTGGGTGAAAGATGCGACTGGTAGGGCGGCTGTCTGGGTATGCGGACACCTACACGTATCGGCAAGAATGATCGATCCAACCTCAAACTTTACGTGGATAGAAGTGGCTGGCATGCGTATATATAGTTGCTATCTCCCACCTAGCGAAGAGATAAGCGAGTTTAAGAAATCCTTGGATGACATTGTTACCAGCGCAATGACATCACGCCTACCGGTAGTCATCGCAGGCGATTTTAATGCATGGGCCGTAAACTGGGGAAGCGCGAAAACAAATGCTCGCGGGCATGCACTTCTAGAGGCGTTTGGAGTATTGGAGCTCGAGGTAGCCAATAGAGGAACGACCCCGACCTATTCCAAGGCGGGGAAATCGTCCATAGTGGATGTTACCTTCATAGATGCCAAACTATTGACGGAGGAGCTCAACTGGAGAGTCAGCGATCGGTACACGGGCAGTGACCATCAAGCCATAACGTACCGGCTCCAGTTGACCAAACCAGCGGTATCCATTAGGACAACGGAAAACAAGAGGAGATGGGCACCAAATACCTTCGACAGAGAGTCATTTCTCTCCTCCCTCGAAGGAACATCAGTGTCCGGAACCGCGGAGGAAAAGGCGCAGGGTCTCACACGTACTCTGAAAACTGCATGTGATGCATCCATGGCAGCAAAAAATAACGCAAGAGGTCGACTACCGGTATATTGGTGGAACGAGGACATCGCAAGCCTGAGACATAAATGTCTCACAGCCAGAAGGCGCCATCAAAGAGCACGGAACAAGCCCAACTTCCAGGCTCTGACCGAAAAATATGAGGACCTGCGATCACTGCTCAAGGTCACCATCAAAGCAGCTAAGAGACAGTGCTGGCGAGACTTCTGCGAGGAAGTAGATAAGGACCCCTGGGACCGGCCGTATAAAACGGTCATGCGCAAGATCAAGCCCAGGAGTGGCGCACCACCATCTTGCCCATTATTCCTCGACAGAGTAGTGCGACATCTGTTCCCAAGACATCGGGAGAGACCAGAACAAACAGGCCTAATGGAAAGAGACGATGAAACCGAGTTTATAGAAGTAACCCAAGCAGAACTGATAGTAGCCGCGAAGAAAATTCGAACCCGGAAAGCGCCAGGACCGGATGGGATACCGGGAATTGCAATCAAGACGGCAGCACTGCATGTCCCGGAAATAATTCGCGATACATTTAGTGCGTGCCTGCGAGAAGGACATTTACCAAACTCGTGGAAGCTGCAAAGACTGGTCCTGCTATCCAAGGGAAATAAGCCTCCCGAGCAGCCTTCGTCCTACAGACCACTGTGCATGTTGGACATTATAGGAAAACTGCTGGAAAGAGTAATCCATGCCAGATTGGAGGCAGTTATAGCCGAAGCGGGGGACCTGTCTGGAAACCAGTTCGGCTTCAGAAAAGGCCGTTCAACCTTAGGCGCTATTGGTCGAGTTGTGGACCTGGCCAAAGATGCCATTAGCGGAGGACGGAGCGCAAGACGCATGTGCGCTGTGATCGCATTAGACATCCGAAATGCGTTCAACTCGGCAAGATGGGACATCATTATGACAGCCATGGAAGGACTGAGGGTGCCGCTGTATTTGCGTAGAGCCCTATCGAGCTACTTAAGCAACCGAATCCTGCACTATAACACCGACGATGGCACACACTCATACAACATCACGGGAGGAGTGTCGCAGGGATCGGTGCTTGGCCCCTTGCTATGGAACGTCCTATATGACGGTCTCATAAGACAGCAGTTCCCAAGGGGAACAGAGATAATAGCTTTTGCCGATGATGTAGCACTAGTGGTCACGGCAAAGAGCGTTGAGGAAATAGAATATATAGGAAACGCCTCCATCGAGGTGGTGGCCCGATGGCTAAAAGAGCATGGGCTCAGTCTCACTGCGGAAAAGACGGAAGCGGTGCTCATCTCCCGCACGAAAGCTCGGAAGTATGCCACATTCACGGTGGAAAATAAGCGAGTACAGTCGACTGACACGGTGAGGTACCTGGGAGTTATACTAGATGCGCGGCTATCGTTTAAGGAACACCTCTCGAAAACAGGTGTCAAAGCCACTAACGTTGCTAGGGCGTTGGCAGGTATCATGCCAAACGTCGGGAGGCCAAAGCAACCACGCAGAACCCTCCTATCGTCGGTCGTGAGCTCGGTAATTCTC